GCGACGCCGAATGAGCTGGTCAAGGTGGTGACCCCGACGCCACAGCTGAACAGCGCAGACGAGGCGAGTGTGAAGCCAGCGATGAGCACGTTCAAGCAGACAGCAGCCCCGCCGCTACCGAAGACGCCAGAGGAGCTGGGTCTGGTAGCGCATCGATTCGGACGACCCGAGCCAGAGCCACCCGTCGAACTGCGCATACATGAAGGGCCCAAGCTGACAGCTCGCACACAGCACTTGCTGCACTCCACTTCATTTGCGATCAAGCGTCCCTCGCTGGCCAGCCGAAGCAGCGGGCGCTCCTCGTTGGGCAGTGCCCAGTCCATGTACAATATGCACGAGCTGAGCACGTCGACTCGCTACTGCAGCGATGCCGAGCTGATCTTCGATGCGGGACTGAAGGCAGCCGCCCTGCTGGATGAGGTGCAGCCGCAGCTGCGCTCCACGCTGAAGCCCAACCACAACGGCAGCGTCACAGATGACTTCTACCACGATTTGTATGCGACCAAGTACAGGTTGCCTCGCATAGCTCAGCGCCAGCTCAGCTTGGACGACGACACATCGGCCGCTTAAAGATCGCACTGGAGACTATATATTTATATATAACAACCATGTTTACAATATCAATATCTATCAAGTCGCCTCATCTAAGCAGCATCTCCCAATCCACCTTACTAATTCCTAAATGCGCTATATTTTCCCTTCCATTAACATTGCTTGCTTTTGGTGGTTAACACACACACACACACACAGACACAGAGACATAACACACACTCACAACTAAACATACAGAACTATCTAGATCTTCGAAATCTAATTTTTGCCAATTGCCATTCAAAATTGCCAAAGTTAAATATATATATGTACGTATATATATATATATATATATATATATATATATATATACATATATATATATATATATATATATGAATATATTTTGTATTTTGTTAATTAAATAATCGTTTTGCCAATGATGCCAAATAAAAAATGCTTTTGTGCGCGGGCTTCGCCTGCAACCGTTGCATTCCATTTAGCAGTATTATAATGCATAGAGTACTTAGACCAGAAACAGAGAGAAAGAAAGGCGAGAAATGTAATTAGAAAGCTGTAAGATAATACTTATTAAACATACATCATACACGCACTCTACATCATATACATGCCTGCCATATGTATATGTATGCATCGATATTCACTATTTCACATTAACACAAAATTGCAACAACGCGCGATACAAAACAGAAATGATATTAAAATCAAAAATCAAAAATGTCAAAATTATGTTCAAATCAACATTTTCTTGCCGGCTCTTCTTCTATTCGCAAAGCAACTACAACAGAGGCTGCAACAAGAGGTTAGTCTACGGGCCAGAGAGCTCTTAACACTATACTATCTAACTTTAGCTATCCTTACTTACGTACAAAGCATTAGTAGAACTTAATTAGCAACTAACATGCATGCCAAATATCAAATTCAAATTCACTTTTGTATACAGAATCTGAAACTTTTTTAGTTGGATGTTGTGTGTTTCAAATTCTTTGTTGCGTATGATCCAACATGGGAAATGTGTTGCAAATTAATGAATGACCATTTACTCTTGTATTTCTTACCGTGGTCAGCGTTTGGAAGAGACATTCGCACAGCAGCTGGATGAGATGGAAACCTTGTACGGCGGCGCCTTGATCGTTTCTGTGCCTTCGGATACGCTGCAGCGCGATCACTTCACGGGTTCCACGCGAAGCAGCCTAAGCTCCTATTCCGAAGGATGACTTCCACCAGCAGCAGGAGAAGGAGCAGGAGCAGCAGCAGCAAACACTAAAACATTTGTCAGCCATCCTCAAAGGCTAATGGGCTCAGTCCCAACTATATCTACTTATATATATCTAAATATATATATATAAATATATATATACATATATATATATATATATATACATATATATATATATATATATATATATATATATATATATATATATATATATATATAAATACATAGAAAATGCCAAGCAACGCGTCGTTCGGGTAAAGCAAAAATATGTGTCGTTAAATTTAAGCATAAGACGTAATTTAACTTTTTTTGCATTATATTTTAGCCTACTTATTCTATCACTCTTACTTACTTTATATATATATATATATCTATATATACTATAAAGCAAATAGCATCTATTGTATGTAATATGCTATCAAAACTTAAACATAGTTAACAAGAAACACGAAATAACAAAATCAACCCACACACAGATCTATTGTTGACCTTATCGCTGTTGTAAATATATTTACATAACTCTATATTATTCACACCTGATGAGAAGACCATATATGCTTACATCCATATACTTCCAATTATCACTGGGTATGATATGTCATATGAGAGTTGATAAAAAGTAATTAAGAACCATTTAAACATATGTTGAACGAGCTTCTTTACACCCCTGAAGCGTGGTAGAGCTGAAAAATGATTGAGAATTGAGACAGAGCACTCGAGCGGTGGCTGACCTTCGGACTCTCCCTCTCAATTACTCTCAATTGTAAACGAAATACTTATAGTACTCAAAAACGTATAATGGGGCCCATTTGGAAAATTTCATAATTTCACCCAAAAACGATATATCTACTTGATCCTCGGTGCGCAGAGCTGAGGGGTACTTAATCGGAGATGTAAACAGGATATCAAGATCATATCACTAAAAAAGGTATCTCCCACTCTTACGTACTTTCCAGAAGACTCCACTAGAGAAGGAGACGGAAAAGACGCTCGAAGTTTTACTGAACCGATTAATCTAAATTTGACATTAGCCGTCACCCGTCTAAATACCACGCCCCCATCTTAAGTCCTATACCATCCATACAATAACCTAACCCTAAAATAATTTAAAAAATTAGGAAAGCAAAAGAGAAAAAAGTAATTAATTATATTAAGAAAGAGAATGAGAGAGACAATGATAATGAGAGAGAGAGAGAGAGAGAGAGAAAGCAGGCTTTGCATAGCTGGAGTATGATAAAAGATATTTATATTTGTAAAACTTTATGCTTATATATAATATATATATATATATATAGAAAAACAACAAAAAAATATAAAAATATATATAAAAAGACCAAACGATTGCATTGACTTAACCCGGTAACCTTACAGGCTCAACACGATTTCCAAGGGCAAGCATGATATACTTCTACATCTACTAGGAAACTGGGACATCACGTTCGAATATAATATGAGTCATTTCTGGTCGTCGAGACTATAAACTTTGAAAATATACGTTTATAGACAGCTCCCGTGTAAATATAAATTCGTTTTGGCGTTCAGAAAACACCCTATAGTTCTTCAGCCTTCTAAAAATTAACAAAGAATCCTATATCCACGTTTGAGGTTCGAGGTCCATAATTTTACAATCTCCCATATACATATGTATAGAGTCCATATAGGTCACATATAACTTTAGAGCCTTAACAATCGATGATCACTTCGGCTACATTTGAATACTGGGCGCGTAGCACTTAGTTAGTATACGAATAGTCCAGGGCCATTTCGCTAAAAGCATATATGTATATATAGATAGAGCATACATATGTGGTCTACAAGCTGGAATAGGGCCCATGGGGCTCAGACGGCCTGCAGGCATGTCAGCTGTTGGTTCGCATTAGCCCTTGGTCAGTTGGCTGGCCATTGTCGTCCGGCGTGAGGGCAACACGAGTTGCTATTAATAAAAGCGAAGGCAGCAAAAGGAGCGAATAAAATAAAAAATTCAAATTCATTCGGCATTATTTAATTGAAATGTGAGAATGCGCTTTTTCAGACGTCTACTACGCCGGCCCAGTGGATGACCTAACATGCCGAAACATAAGTCCATCGTCATCATCACTATCACTATCACCGTCACCACCAACACCACCACCACCACTACCATCATCATCATCATACTCTGCACAAGCATTGCCATCGTCCCCAACATTCCATCATCATGCAAGTCCCATTCACAGACATCCACTGCTGCCGCTGTTCAGCCTGATGAAGAGCAAAAACAGCAACTGTGCTTCAGTTACACAGAAGCATGCTTGAGACAACGTCCCCTCGGGGCACAGGTTCATCCTCCTACTCCCACCCACCCGGCCACCTAGCCAGCAGTCCGCCAGTTGAGCATTTGTACTCTGCACTTGGCCGCTTGCGGATCTTTCATTCATATTCATCCATTTAGTTTGTGTTTTGTGTTCTTATTCTGTTGTTGCTGGTGCAACTTAACGCTACACTGCACGAAAAACGAGCTTATTGTAAATAGGAGAATATAAATATTAAAATGTATACATAAGTATGAAAGGCTATTGCTGATAGGCAAGCTCTAGTCATGTTAGATGATTGATTAGCATGCAACAGTGTGTTATTTTTATCCTCGTTCGCAAAGCTAGACTCGAAATTTGGAATATATATTCTCGTGTTGACAGTCCTCTGACAGTTGTGTTCCTCTAGACTTGCCTGAGGATATTCCAAAGAAGATCTATTCAAAACCATATTTTCAATACTTTATGTACGGAGTCTTAGAAGAGAAATTCTATTAGCGTTCTGTCTAATCTGTTGCTTAAAGGGCGTACAGTGTATAGACGAATGCTAAACAAAATGACACGCACATATATATACGCACACACCTACACACACTGTGTAACAGTTTTTCCGCTTTCTCTCACCCCCACACACATTAGCCGAGCTGGGACATTATTGAGGGTGTTGCTGAGGATGCTCGCCGTGTTGCCCAACAAACACAAATTCCAGCACAAAGCGAAAGATAACAGCTTTGACACATAGACACACATATACACATAAATGCGCACAGACACACCCACATCCGCAGCTAGAAGTACTCACAGCTTCCTGACTGGCTACACACACAGAGAGAAATCGAGCGAGAGACAGAGAGAGAGCAGAAAAGTGAGAGAGTGCTGAGTAAACGCGCGCATTCGGGTTGTGTGTTGCCCTCGCAGCAAAGGTACCGTTAAGGTATGTGCTTGAAGCTTTTAGATTCAGTCCCGGACGAGATTTAGCAACGTGCGCTTGGGTTTCATCAGCAGCTCAGCCCTCCAGCTGGTGGCGAACGCGTGCAGCTCGCAACGTGAAAAAAGCAACGATTATATATGGGCAGATAGCGGATGAGATGTACGTTAGCAAAAAACACGCTAAATAAATAATTTGTTAATCAGGCGAAACTGTCGCGTAAGCGCGTGTGTTGCTCAACAAATAGTTCAAGTTTAAGTTGTGAAAGAAATTCGCTGTGTACTTGTATCTATAACACCAAAGCATAAATTTGATTACAATGTTAAGCACAGGCCGAATGTAAAAACTTGGGGGCCAGCGCACACACGCTAAGCGCGTCAGAGCGTTGACGGAGGCGTCGACGCCAACGTTGGCGCAGCAGCCCGCATTGTGTATAATAAAATTTGCACAGCAGCAAAAAATCGGAATGAATAGAGCCGAGCAGCGACGTTGACGCAGCAGCGAGGCTGATGCCAAGAAGAGATGTGCGCGCACAATACGAAAAATTACAAAGCAGACTTTTGGGAGCGGCAAATGGCCAAAATCAGCAGCAGCAGCAGCAGCAGCCAGCAGTATCCCGCAGCAGCAGCAGCAGCAACAACAACAATGTCAACGCTACAACGGACGCTGAGTGCTCGCAACTGAATAACATAGTGGTGGGAGTTGAAGCACATATACAAACCAAGTGCCAAACCGATAGAGCGGGCGAGAGAAAGAGAGAGAGGGAGTGCGAGAGTCTGATAGAGAGTACGAAAGCACGAGAGCTTGCGCCGCAACGTAAGCGCCCATGTAAGTAATGAGAGCAGGAGCGGAGAGCACGAAATTATGAGGAGTGTGTGTGCGTAGCAAAGGCGTTTTGTGTTTGGTGTTGCTGTTCGTAGTGCTCTCGTTTTGATTAAACTTGCGAGTAGGTCGGATCGGGTCGGTGGGGCGCGGCAAACGGTTCGCAATATGCTTAGTATTGGGTCTGCCGCGAGCATAAGGTGTAAGCAGTTAGCAGAAGCAAAAGCGGCCACCAGCAGCATCCACCAGCAAAGCAATTCAATTTCCGCCAACAAGCAAAGGCCAGCGCCACAGCCAGAGAGTCCCGCAATTAACTCGCGCAAAGAAATTAACATAAAAGCTAAGCAGCAGCAAACGGACAAAAGTCTACAGCTATTGCTATTTTTCTCGCATTTTGTTTAAAAGCTTGAATCCAAGTGGGCGGTTGTGTCTGTGTTTGTATGTGAGTCTCTCTCTGCTTGTGTGTGTATTCATCTAGCTGACAGCGCCCGCATTAAATGCTGGGAAACTCTACATAAAATCGTATATAAAATTAAGGCAGCTGCTGATGAGCTGATCAGGCTCGAAGGCATGTGTGTGAACTGAAGTGTGCTTGTGCATGTGGCGGTGGGTGTGAGTGTGTGCGTCTGTGTAACTGTCATAAACATAGCCTAATAAATTGGCAAACGAAATGCCATGGATAGCCGCAGGTTGCTCGCGCTTTCATTGTGTGTGTGTGTGTGTGTGCATGGTGGTTTGTCGCGTTTTCATAATAAATCCATAAATCCATTTTTTTACGGGTTCGGCAGGCAATGAGATTATTCGCCATGATTTGAATGTTACGTTAAGCCCACAATTGGCTAAGATTGTGGTGTGCTGCCTGCCTTGCCCAGCGGTAGTTGTCGTGGCCAAAAGGTTCGGCAGGTTAGCCAGGCGAACACACATGAACACACACGAATTGAGGTAGCGCTATCATAGCGATATTATCAGTGTCTCTGCTTCTTTTTTGTTTCCTAATCATTGCTCTTGTGCCCCTGGCTGAGCTCCAATTCGGGAAGCTCTTCATTTGGTTGCTTGCTTATTGGCCATCCCCACTCCCCCGTTCCCCGGTGACCCGCCCACTTCGCTGCTTTGATTTATGCGCGTGTTTGTGCCAGACAAGAATTGAGCCAAATATTCCGAATTGTGATTGATTTACTATCTGGCACACGTTTAATTTTCCGACGATTTGATATGAGCTGCCACAGAAAAACTGAAAAATGTAAACGATAAGTGATGTAAACACACGATACACGATGTAAAGCCGTTTTCACTTCTTTCGTTTTGTTTCTGTTTCGCTTGGAAAGCTACAAGTTAGCCACTTTTCTCTTGGCGAGAGCAGCTCATTCATTTCCTCTGCTCGTCATTTGATTACGAATTTTAGTTCCAGCTCAACTTTACGCCAGAGTCGTGTATGCAATTAAAATTACCCCCAGTCGGCATACTCTGCGAATGCTTTTTCTGTGCCACAACTTCGAGCTGCTTGCGCTTGGCTGCCATTAGTCTGGCCAATGGCTTTGCCTGTCTGTTGCAAGCCTCCAGCTGCTGGGGCGAACAAGTTGACCCAAGTTAAGCCCAGTTTTCACAGCAAGTTAGTGCATGCATCATCCATTTAAATTATTCATATTAGTTTCTAGATGACATATGAGCCCTTCCTATGAAGTATGTAGTTACAGTAAACCCAAATAGGTCAGACTTATTGTGGGAATGCGTGCACGAAACTGTCTTTTTGTACGCAGGTTTCTTCTTGATAGTTAAGGTCCTTATTTTCTTATCAAAATTAGTACCTCGACAGACCACGGCAAACTGTAGTTCTTGCCGTTCCACAAAAGTATGCTACAAATATATAATTAAATTTAATTTATATTGCTCATACTTTATCTGAAGTTCTCGGGCGTGCAGCAAAATTGCATCTTAATTAAATCCAGAAGCAAGATAGCGTTTACCCTTAGCTTAGGGGATATGATAACAATAGCATATGCCTATTCTATTCTATCTATTCTATTCTATTAATATGTTATAGAATTTGGGCATGAATGCCTTTCGAGCATTGTTGATTAACGTTTAGCTAAAGACTAATTAAATGCTGGCCCAATGGAAGCCACTTCGATTGGACTGCTCTATTCATATTTATGCCTCTGATTGAAGGATAATTTTATAGAAAGTGCAAACGGATTAAGGCTTTCAGCTGAGTTCTATTCAGATGGATTTCAGTAAAGCGTGAAAAGCAATTAGAGTTTGTTTTGTTTGTCGAAATGCACTTGCAAGCACTCGCATTTTCATTGGCTGACTAAAAGCTTTTCATGATCAGTTAATTCAATAATAACAATAGCAGAAACTCGCACACGAGTCTATTTTGGGCTCGGCTTAAAGTCCCATAATTCAATTATAAAATTGTGTTATTTCGTTTATGCCTTATCATTTTTTATACTTGTATCCTGGAAAGCCTTCTGACATATTTCGGGCGTGATTTGTGATTTGCGGAGTAAGGATGGGGAAAATATGAGACGGCCCAACAATAGTGAATGCTGAGTGCTGTCAACGCTGCAGAGAATAATGGCCCACAACTTCCAATGGACTCAATACGAATCAATCAGGCTGCATATCATGTGAGAGGCATCGGTGAGCGAGGCAAGCGTTGAGAATAGCCTCGCACCACGCGGCGTATACGTTACTTATTGAAAAACTTTCCAAATCAAAACACAATGTGTACCTATGACTAGGTGTGTGTGTGTGTGTGTGTGTTTGTCGTTGTGTCTGTAGCCAATGACAACATCAATAGTTTCGCAAAGTGTCAGAGGAGGCCGCTTTGAACATTTCCGTGCCAGAGTGCCAGCTCGAAGAAGAGTGGGAAGAGGTGCCTGCAGAGGGGGATGCGGGCCGAGGAGCTGCGCCTGTGTTCGATTCGATAGCCAAGTTTTTGCCTACGCTGACTGTTGCATGTTCTCCCATTGTTGGCACAACACCAGCAACAACAACAGAAGCAGAGGCTGTGGCAGAGGCAGAGGCAGAGGCAGAGGTTGAGGCTGAGGCTGAGGCAGCAACAGAAACAGAAACAGAGGCAAATAAAGCTAAGCGTGGGCGTGGCATGTTTATCTGTTACTGTGCGACTGCCAAGGAAACGCATTCAAGCAGTTTTTCATTTACATTTTCATTAAAACAAATCACACTGAAAATGTCATTTGCAAAAAGCACAAAGCAATGCGACCGCAGGCGTCTTCGCCCCCTTCCACTGCCACTCCCACTGCGTGTGTTTTCTTTGAGCCAGTGGGCGGCTAGTGTTGGGGCTTCTGCTTCTATCAAAGGCCTGCGACAGCTCATAATTCTCTGGTTTCTTATTTTATTTTCGTTTGTTTGTTTGATTGTCTGTGCGCTGGCACTGCAGGGCCTGTACGAAAATGCTCAGAAGTCCGACGACAGCGCTAGCGCGTGGGTGCAACAAGGATAAGCGGCATCAGCATCAGCATCAGCAGCAGAAGCAGCAGCAGAAGCAGCAGCAGCAACAGCAGCAGCAAGACGACCGCCTGACCATTTAGAAATCACAACTCAAGTAAGCAAAACGAGGCCAGGCACATCTTGTGCACAATCTATAGTGCATTCTCAGGCGAGTGAGCAAATTCAAATCAAAGCAAATCGAATATCTCGCATACGCCATGGAGCCAGTCATGAGCCTGACACTGGCCGCCCATGGGCCGCCCAGCATACTGGAGCCGTTGTTTAAAACCGTAACTACGAGCACAAGTACAACAACAAGCACGACGGCTGCCACGACGAGCAGCAGCAGCAGCCCCACCATCAGCCCCACCATAACCACCAGCAGCACCCTGCTGACGGCTCTGCTTGAGAACCTGACCTCAACGGCGGCGAGTGGCCTCTACGATCCATATGGGAACCACTCGAACTCCAGCCTGGGCTTTGAGACGAAGGGGCCGAGGTACTCAGTGGCCTCGATGCTTGTTATGGGCTTCGTAGCGGCGATTCTGAGCGCGGTGACAGTTGCGGGCAACCTCATGGTGATGATCTCGTTCAAGATCGACAAGCAGCTGCAGACGATCAGCAACTACTTCCTCTTCTCGCTGGCCATCGCGGACTTCGCGATCGGCGCCATCTCGATGCCGCTCTTTGCGGTCACCACGATACTGGGCTACTGGCCGCTGGGGCCGCACGTGTGCGACACCTGGCTGGCCCTCGACTACCTGGCCTCGAACGCCTCCGTGCTGAACCTGCTCATCATCAGCTTCGACCGGTACTTCAGTGTCACCCGGCCGCTGACATATCGCGCTAAGCGCACGACCAACAAGGCGGCCGTCATGATCGGCGCTGCCTGGGGCATCAGCTTGCTGCTATGGCCGCCCTGGATCTACAGCTGGCCCTACATCGAGGGCAAGCGCACTGTGCCCAAGGACGAGTGCTACATCCAGTTCATTGAGACGAACCAGTACATCACTTTCGGCACTGCGCTGGCTGCGTTCTACTTTCCCGTTACGATCATGTGCTTCCTCTACTTCCGCATCTGGCGGGAGACGAAGAAGCGCCAGAAGGATCTGCCCAATTTGCAGGCCGGCAAGAAGGACTCTAGTAAGCGATCCAATAGCAGGTGAGTTTGATTTACTGACCTACGGACTTTAATATATTCTCATATCGATATATATCAGCTATATATCAACATGTAATATCATATTATATGTGCCCAATTATATGTGCAGACTGTTTCAATGGCTTGATAAGTAAGAATAGTGCCTAGCTAGCATAAGCTGGCTCTGCTAAAGCAAAATCTTCAAAGTAAAGCTAACAAATTATAGTAAATGCCGAGAATTGTAGGTATATCACATATATAGAATAATGCATGGGATAGGCTAAAGTACAGACATAACTAAAGCAATATTATGTACATATATCATATATATGTACATTAGACTAAAATGAAAATAGTTATTTAACAACATGATATATAGTAATATAGTATAAATACATATATTATAATATGAAACACCATTTCCAAATTCTGAAAATCAATGGGAAATCAGGGTATAATGGTTTTGTTTTAGGTCTGTTTCAGTGTTTCAATTCATTTATCTATCGAGTCTGTAGTCCTGCTCTGCTGTATTCATTTGAGAATTACATGATTAGAGTTTTTAAGGAATTTTTTCGTAAAGCTCTCATACTTAGTAACACATTGAATGGGAGCGCAGGTCTAAAAGTATGTAATAGGTAGAAAGACATGTATATATATGTACATATATATATTTATTTTCCGCTATAGACATGTCTTTATGTTCGTACCCCTGTCTGTTCCATTCTGTCTATAGAGGCGGAGCGTAAAATAATTGAATGTCAGTGCTTTGCCGGGTTAAGGGTATTCCCTGGTCGGGCATTCCCGACTAGAGCACTCTTACTTGATTCACAATTAACTACTGCGGTCTTTCGCCTGTTGCTCTCGTTCTTCATTTCAGCGACGAAAATACCGTGGTGAATCACACATCGGGGGGCCTCCTGGGGTTCGGCCAGCTGGGCGGCAATGATCATGATACGTGGCGACGGCCGCGCTCCGAGAGCTCGGCGGATGCGGAAAGCGTCTACATGACAAACATGGTCATCGACTCGGGATATCACGGCATGCACTCGCGCAAGTCGAGCGTAAGTTGGGTGTGAGCGGCAGGCGACTGCCGGCTGCTCGTTATATTCGTTTCTCCGTTCTATTTGACTTGTGTGTGGCTTACATGTATTTCTATGCGCAGATCAAGAGCACCAATACAATCAAAAAGCCATATTCTTGCTTTGGCAGCATCAAGGAGTGGTGCATCGCGTGGTGGCACTCGGGCCGCGAAGACTCCGACGATTTTGCCTACGAGCAGGAGGAGCCATCTGATTTAGGGTATGCAACACCAGTAACAATTGAAACTCCTTTACAAAGCTCCGTCTCCAGGTAGTAAAAAAAGCAGCTCTTTTTATAATCGTCTTATTTCGAGTAAGCAAACACCGCACTCAAGCACCCAGCACCCAAGCACCCAAGCACACACACCCACACACTCTCACTCATGCACTCTAATCGTTTCTGTGTGTGAGTGCTGCATGTGTATGTCTCCCATCTCAAATGCACTTAGAGCACTTCATTCCAAAAGAAAAGCCCATTGGCTCCTCGATGCCTGTGCTCCAGGCAGAGAAGGGAGAGGAAAGGAAATCATTTCACTGCCATCACACAACGGTTTCACCTCGCACATGCACAACCATTAATAGAGCGCACACAGTGTGCCCCAAAAGTATTTGCATGACAGTCTAGTGGCACAGCTCAATATTCAGCCGTGGGAGAACTTCGCCAGATAATTGGATGCATTTCTCTTTCATAAATTTCATGTAAGGGAAGTTTTTACTCACACTTCTTGTTTTTTATACTCATTTGTTATTGTACCTATTTTACAATTGTGGAATTATTGGGCGAGCTCTTGTTATTTGGATCCACTTCAATTATGCTTGGTTTTCACAAATCACAGTACTCAAATCTATATGTTTTATATTTTTTAAATCGAAACTATTATAAGTTAGTTTAAGCATAGTCGTGCTAGTCGAGTATTACTGATCAGAAAGGGGAGATTCGGTGCTATAGGAACCGAGTCAGCTCAGCCAAATGTGCAGCCTGCAAACAGCCTGAAGGCGGTTTGGATGGATGACCGAGGATACACGATTATTGTTTAAATAGCAATTGAGTTGATATAAACGGCAAAGGATTACGATAATTATATGTGAGCTGACCAGATTTAGCTCTAGAGCTCAATACTTAAATTAATGTTGCGTAGGATGAAAAGTGAATGTACTTTGTCCATCGAATATGAGGTAATAAACAGTTTGTTCACAGTAGATCCCAACATGTATCTACATATGCTTAGATTTACTTCGTATAATTAGTGTGAATATTAATAACCAAAGCTTGCATTTGCTTCTCAAGTCGAAATACCAGAGTACTAAATTCATCTGTCACAATTGCTAGTTTAGTAATTCCATACTTAGGGCCACTAAACATAGGGAAATAAGGACAGAATTCTTCTTTAAGAACATCTGAGGGGTTTTACCAAATATCATTTGATATATGTCATATATAGTATAAATATATATAAAGTATATCTTGAAAAATATAAAAGATATTGTCATATATTATAATTATTGTTGCATATATTACCAATAGCATACAATAGATTTTTGTTAAACTGTTTTTAGTTATTGAATATTTATTTTCGAAATGAAGTTTTGCTTCAGTTCAAATTTTCCTTTTGACTTTTCAGATAATAATTTAGTTCATTTTGATCGACAGTCGATGAAAGAGAATCGCTTTCAGCCTCAGAGTCCCTTTCGCTAGGAGTGTTCATTTCTGAGCGCTAATCACCTGTGCGATGAGGTGTGCGTATGGTTACGCATGTGTGTGGATGTGGGTATGGGTGTGGGTGGCCCGTTGGGAGGAGCAGCTCGCATCCGCTGCTCCGATTTCGTTATTGATGTCTTTGTTGCTGTCGTTCCTGTTGTAGTTCTTGTCGTAGCTTGTCAGCCGTACGGCTTGTCAATGCCGAGCACCCGATGCCGATGCCTGCTGGCGTGTGGCATGTGGCATGTGGAAACTTACTGAAGAGCGACATGCCTTTGTGTCCTTTTTGTCGTTCGCAGATGCACCTCGATGAACGTCATGCGGGACAACTACTCGATGGGCGGCAGCGTGAGCGGGGTGCGGCCGCCGAGCATAATGCTGGCGGATGTGTCGCCGACGCCGCTGCGCCCGCCACTCAATTCCATTTCGCAGATGCAGATGCAGGAAATGAACGCGACCGGCAATGGCAACAACGGCAATGTCAACATCAACATCAGCATCAATGCCGGCAATGGAGCTGGGGGCGGCGGCGGGTGTGGCGGTGCCGCGCTCAGCAACAACAACAATCTGAACGGTGGCAGCGCCAACAGCAACCCGAGCGCCAATGCGCTGCGTGACTCACGAGCGCTGCCCGTGAGCAATCGCATCGGGTCGCGCTCGGTTAGCCAGGACTCGGTCTACACAATACTCATCCGGCTGCCGCCAGATGGCGCCAGCTCGGCGACCGGCAGCAGCGGAGCGGGCGGCGTCAACAACGCCCTGGGCAACCAGGGCGTCCATGGCGATTGCGGGCCCTCCATCAAGATGATACACGAGGATGTCTCGACGGTGGGGGCGGGCAGCATAGGCGTGGTCACGACAGCCCCACCGCCCACGCGCCGACCCTTGCCGTCGCGTGACTCGGAGTTCAGCCTGCCGTTGGGCAGGCGGATGTCGCACGCCCCCCAGGACATGCGGCTGCTGAATGCGAAGGTCATACCGAAGCAGCTGGGTAAGACGGCAGGGCAGAATGCGCTGCTGAACGCGCGCAACGCGGCCAAGAAGAAGAAAAAGTCGCAGGAGAAGCGGCAGGAGTCGAAGGCGGCCAAAACACTGTCGGCCATCCTGCTCAGCTTCATCATAACGTGGACGCCGTACAACATTCTAGTCCTGATCAAGCCGCTCACCACCTGCTCCGACTGCATTCCCACCGAGCTGTGGGACTTCTTCTACGCCCTGTGCTACATCAACTCAACCATCAATCCCATGTGCTACGCGCTCTGCAACGCCTCCTTCCGGCGCACCTACATTCGCATCCTCACCTGCAAATGGCAGTCGCGTAATCGCGAGGGCATGGTCAGAGGCGTGTACAACTAGGGCGGCGTAACGCCTAAAGTTGGTCAGTTATAAGGATTCAGTTCATAAAAGTTACAATAAATGTGTTAGGCCAAAAATTATATTAAAAAAAAACAGAAGCCAAAACCAAAATCCAATAAATGGGAAATATTAGCAATAGCAAAAACCAAAACTAGGCTTAGGTAACACTCTGACAAGCAGTACTGATTTTTGATGTCTAGCCAACAATATATAAATATATTGATGATAGTATTACAAACAAATATTTGAATATATATATATATATGATGATGCTTAAATATATATGTATGTGTCATTACGATTTGTCTGCTCAATAAGTTTTCCATCGTTCACAATAAATCCAATTAGGACCATATGATTGATGATAAATGTCTATTAGTTTTTCAAATATTGCTTAAATAGAGTTGATACTGTTATCCACCTTACGTTCAATTTCGATGAAGAGTGTAACACTTTCAGTAATCTTAATATGCGTGTGGTTTGACCGAAATTAGCTCCAAATAGATGTTTCATTCAAGGGTCTTTGTATGTCTTATATACCATAAATTGACAATTTACAGAAAGTCGTCTTCCATTTCAAAAATGTTCGCAAATAATTTTCAGTACCAAAACATTCATAAATTAACTGAAGAAATCAAGATTCGACTCATACTCAAGCATTAATGGAAACTTATTGAGCAGCCCTCGAGGCTATTACTGTAGCAACCACATCATATTGGAACGCTTTTTGTTGGGCGTTCAGTTTTAGGTAGGCACGTGCTCCATGCAACAAGAATTTAATACAAATATAACCGATTACGATTTGGAATATATTATAAAACTATCACATATACATATGCATGTATATATAAATATATATATATATATATATATATATGTATTATAATTAACATAAGCCAATATATCTATGGTACACCTTATGTTGTTGGCCTACGCGAAAAAAAAAACCACAAAAGCTTTAATACAGTTCAAATTACCGCGCGCAACGAATTGCAGTGGGCACTTTTTCCAGATGGGATATATCTCTCGGATGATGCGGAGTTCAGGATTTTGGTTAACCTTGTTGTCGTTGACGATGGTGCGATATGTGATTGTACTGCTCGTTGTGTTTTTGATAAGTTTTGATATTTTGAATCATCTTTTGTAATCCAAGTAAAGTATAAGTACCAGACGAGCGAGAAGCGAGCAAAAAAGAAGCAAAGTAAACAAAGATAAGAAGCATCAACTGCGCGTCAACCGTGCATGTTTATACGTAGTATAAATTGAAAAACAAAACCAAAAACTAAAAGCAAAAGGCAAAAAACAAACAAAAACCAAGAAAAGTAACACAAGTATGTATCCATTAAGAACGTAACCCACCATAGTTCAACTACTAAGAACAAACTTTTGTAACTGTTGATTAAAACTTTGTAAAAAACAAAACAAAAACTCAAGTAAAAGAAAAATACCTTAGAACTAAAGATACGATTTATCGAAACAGTGGTAAAAGCAATTGAAATCAGGCATGCGCCTCCCCCAAGAGCGGGCAGTCGATGGCCCAGCGAGTAGTGGAGGGGAAAACCTTAAGATCTCCATGCGAATATTTGGGTACTTGCCAGCAGACAGACGGACGGACGGATAAAGTGGTCCCCGAAAGAGGGGCGAACTTTAGAGAAGATTAATTCTGTCCTGAGAAAGTTTTGCGTGGGACTAACAAAGAGACCTGCACCATAGACAGGGGATAGATCCTGTTGAGGACAGAGCCGAACATTGGGAATATGCTTAACAAAACAAAACAAGGTTGTGCCGTTAAATAGGCCATTGCCCGTCAAGCAATAGAGGTAGCTCAAGGTTGAGGTTGAGGCTTCAATTTTGTTTGGCTGGGCTTATATCATCATCGACTGCGCCGACTTGGGCCCCAAGTTAGGAGTCTGTTCCAATGCACCAAAAAACGTTGAAATCACATACGTATACAAATATATAGCATATTTAATATGGGAAATACAAGAAATACAATAGCTTAAGCTGAGCACAAACACTCAAATACATATATAGATGACACACAATGTGAGAAGAGAAACGAACAGAAGAATTTGTAGTTAACTTAAACAAGACAAAACCAAGTGGATAACACTTTCGAGGTGGTATCCCAAACGCTGAAATCAAAGCAACAAAGCAACAGTCTCAATGGCACAGCTCGAGATATATACTCTATATGTATATGAATATACCACATAAGATATATGAAGTTAATATTAAAGTTAAAAGCAAACCGAAAATTAAATTCAAATTACTAGAACCCAAAAGACATGATTTACACCACGCACACATCCAAACGAGGCATATAGAAACGAAAATGCATCTATCTATCTCTGCAAAAGTCCCAAATTTATTATATAAACATAGATAACATAGTTTGCAATTTATGAGTGCAATAACCATGGAAAGCTGGCTACCTAAGGAGAAGAAGATGAAGAAGAAGCGAATGTAGATTGAAGCATATTGTTAAGGAATGAAATTTAATTGCATACAATCTAATTGTTTGGAACAGTACTACGATATATGTATGAAATAAAAATAATGATACAATTTAAAATGCATATATGAATTAATGCTAAAAATAAAACAATGTGAACGAAACGCCTTTTACAGTTCTTTTCTATTCAATTTCTCTGATTGAGCCAAGGAACTAAATCGTGTCAGCTTGTGATGGAAAAAAGGAAATGATAATGAAAGTAAGTCCCCTAACAATGGCTGAACAGTTTTACCAGCTTCCTGATAATTCGAATACCGACACCCTATTGAAAAATATTCAACAAATGAAATGGTTTTCTTGTTGATAGTAATCCTGTTGGTATCCGTGTTTGCAATATTCACAATACTTAGGGTTAAGGTTGAGTTATTATCTTAATTCTGTTGTAAGGTAAAAATACATAATCTTTTAAATTTACCTTTGTAAGTGAAGTTAAATTTAAAGATTATTGTGGAATTTAGGCCGGTATCTGAGGTAGTTGAATAGCATCATCGTTTATCGATTCCATTTAATCGGGAATATTTAGCGATTATCTGAAATAAACTTGATCTGTCTGTATCCGCTATAGAAATGTGGGACAGTTTGGCAGATCTACATAGCCAGATACATTCATCCTATGGGGTCTGCCACGCCTCGTTCTGACTGTTACTCACACTTGAACGAAACCATTATTTCCGGATCTACCATTCACAAACGTATAAACTTAAACAAATATAAGAATTCTCATGGCGTAAGTGAACAGATATTAAATATAGATGTAATAATTCAATAATAAATTGAAGGGATTCATTGAGTTGAAAGTGAATCAAATCAGGTCAAAACAAATCCATATTAGTAAGCTCGTATGGTTATAGCGTCTTCCGGTCGCTTGAGTGCCGCTATAACCGAATTCGACTGTAGTATAATTATTATTTAATATTTCGTTGAAGGAATAGACTGGTCGAATCAATGAATTGTATAAATAATTTCGAGACTGCTTGACTACGAGATCCCCTGAACCCTTTCAAGGAACTGATGCTTCAAAAATTCTTCGCGCCCTTTTGCTTACACAATAAACACACACACCCACACAGACACACATAGGTGCTTACGCATAAACACGCATTGGCTGCAGCGTGGGCCTACTCTGGGAACTTAATTTGTTAAAAACTTTTCTTGTCGGAGGAAGCGTATACTTTGCCAAAGGAGAAGTCTCTAGTACTTGAAATACGTTTTTTATAAGTTTAGTGGTGAAGAGATGGCTATAGAGGTGGGGGTTAATTACAATGAAAATGGAAATTCTATAAAATAAATATATTTTAAAATTTGGTGACTCTAGATCTAAAGATTTAGCAGATATCATTTTATTACTGATTTTATTTATATTATTTTTAATTAATAACAAAATAACGAGAAGAGATATTGATTTTTGGAGATAAACTCGATATTCGCGCTGTATATACGGACAAATAAAAATTTCAAGTCCTAGCTCTTATATCTTCTGAGATCGACGGGTTCAAACATACGGACAGGCGAACAGACGGACGGACCGACAGATCAAGAATATATGTATATACTCTGTGAGGTCTACCGCGTCTCCTTATGCCTGTTACATACATTTCAACAAAACCATTATAGCCTGATTTTATAGCCATTTTCAATGGGTTCAGGGTATAAAAATATAAAAAAATTCGTATTTGATTTGAGGTTTGTTTTATTCTATTATTATTAAAAGTTTTCTTGACCTACTTTATATCGAAAGATTGTGCTTTAAGTCTTATCCGAACTGAAAACCAATATAATATAATAATTATATATAAGATATTATATTATAAGATATATTTTATATAAATATTTATATTTCCTGAAATATTTTTTAATTATTGTATATTTACGTATATTCATTGTTTCTTTCAGAAAATTTGTGCATTAATTAAGTACAAATATAATTTATTTTCGTATTAAATGTGAATGAATCTGAATGCACTCGAACATGTTCAAATGAAGGCCTAGCTCCTCAGATCGTCCCGTTGCTCCGGCTGTTGGTGTTCGTTTCTTGGTTGTTCTTCGTCGGTCGTTTGTCCACGTTGCATTAGCATCTGCGTATTCTTCTGAATGGCCTCCAGCTTCTGGTGCATTAGTTCCTGACGACGAGTCTCTGCTCGCTGCTGCTTGTCCTCCAGCTCGTCGAGCGTGAGGGGCTCCGCCTCGGCGGCTTGCTGCATGAGCTGCTGCAGTCGCTTGGGCGGCTGACGCAAGGTGTCGTTCAATGGGACTGTGTCGCTAGCCGCGTCGTCGAGGGGTATGGTGAATGCCTCAGAAGGCGCTGCACCACGGGCGATATTGATTATGTGGGCAGAGCTGATTGAGGGATACTTACGGTAGTCCTGCTTGGGCAAGGCGTCCATTGTGTTAGAGCTTGTTGTTTCGCGTGGTGGTGCGGCGGGTGGCAGGGACGGGGCTGGGGCAGGGGCTGGGGTTGCCTTTGTTCTGGTCTCGTCTACAGCTGTCGTGGACTTTGAATTGGAGCAGCCCATGCTCGGCAGTTCATCAGGCGCAAGGCATTACGCTAAAACTTCCGTTTCGGGCTGACGGCTTTTCCAGCTCTCTGCTCTCTGCTCTCTGACTTTTTAAAGGAATCTGTATCAGTTGAGCTGGGGATGTTGAGGCAAATGCTAACGCGATTTCCTGCTCGGCGAGGGAGCTACATCCGCTGCGAATCGTTCTACGGTGTGGCTATTCAATTTCCGCTTCAAGCCAAGCCGACAGCTCAGTCATTAGAAGCAGCTTGAGACTGCGCTTAATGGCTCATTAATATTGATTTTGCATGCGCTATGTGTGTGCACTGTGTGCGTGTGTCTGTGTGTGTGAGCGTTGCAGGACTTGCAGGAGACAACCTTCAAGCTGTCCGTCTGACAGCGGCTCGCAGCGAGAACTAAAACTGGAATCGCAATGCAAATGTTTTGCGCTGGTCATTAATAATAATCGCTGGGGCGCAGCCAGGACTACCGTCCTCCAAAAGGATCAATATTCATATGTGAACGGCATGTTTATTTCCTTTTATCTATCTCTCACATTGCCTACACTGAGCGATATTTGTGCAGAGCAATGACAAATATTAAACGAACTTGAAACCGAAGTGAAGTAAATCAAGTAAGAACGTTGAAGTTGAGGGCGTTACCGACTGCAGCATACTCATTCATCTCCATTTTCCAGGTGGTCAACCGAATGTATATACATAGACATATATATAGCTCAAAATAAATTTTAAAAATATAAAATGCAATTGTGACCTTTATAATTCAAGAATTCAAGTTTCGAGCTTTGATTGCGGCGGAAGAAGCTGACGGACAGGGCTATATCGACTCAGCTCGTCGTCCTGATCAAGAATATATATGTTTTTTTATGGGGTCTGCGATGATTCCTCCTGCCTGTTACATACTTTTCCTAAAAACATTATACCCTGATTGAAAATGGGTTCAGGGTATAAACAGCTAAAAGTAATTTGATTTTTAGTCTTAAATATATCATTATTATTATTACGCTAAAAACAGACTAGAGCAGACTTAATAATATTTATTGAATTTCGAATTTATTTTTTAGCGTGTAGTTGCGTGGGCGTGGGTAATAAAGGCTGCCAAAGCAAATAGAGCTAGACAGCGGCCACGCCCACTCGTTCATGCAGTGCCCCGAAAGGGGACCCTGGCCACTGTCGACCAGTGTCAATCAACTCCTGCTTGTGGTCGTAGCCAACGCTAATTGCGGCTTCATTTGCGTGCACATGAGCACCCACACACACACACTCACACACACATCACGCAGAGCCACATACCACAGAGCCGTTAGCCGCAAAAGTTTAGTGACCCACTCAACTTTGACCAGAGCCGCAAGAGGTTTTATTTTGATGTTTACAGTTGGCCAGTGTCAATGCTGTCGCATGGCCATAAAGGCTATGGCCCAAACTCTAACGGCTTCCGGCTCGAAAGCTGCCCATGGAAGAGCTGCTGCGGAAGCGAGGGCGCGTGCCAAGCACCGCCCAGAGCGTCCACGCATTCGTTTTGCATTTGGCTCACGTCGCGTCTTTTGTGGCAGAGTGTTGCTCTTGGCATGCAAATGGCTCGGAACGGAAGCAGCGCCGTCGTCATATCCACTTGCCAACGGCCCGCCGCTCCACCCAAGCAGATTCGGAACGGCCCAAGCCACACAACAGGTGCTACCATCAGGTGCCGCCTCCCATTGGGCTAGCTAGCCACCAGCAGTAATGAGCGACGTTTAATTAGGTTAAGTGTCAATAGGATCATGTCGTCAATCAATCAATTGTACACACACACACATACGTAAATAAATACCAAGAGGCATTCTCAGCTTGGTTATACCCAGAACCCATTTTCAATGGGAAATCAGGGCATAATGGTTATGTGAAAAGCATGTAACAGGCAGAAGGGATTATATATAGTATATATTCTTGATCAGGGCGACGAGCTGAGTCTCATATCTTTTTTATAGAGAATAATCGATAAATTTATTTCGCCTCCAATTTGTAAAAACCGTATTTCAAATACTAGAGACTTGGAAGGTTCAGGGTATCTCCTAGTCGAGCAGTCTCGACTTAATTGGTTTTGTTTTGTAGTTGCTATTGAGGTCGCAATCAATATATATCTATATATATGCATATGTATGCGTATCTATATGTATGCATGTTTATGTAAGCCAAATGTAAATTCCTTGCTTGGTGGCTTGGCGGCTTCCTTGACTGCCCAGCTGAGGGTGTGAGGTAAGGGCCAAGCCTGAATGTGGTTTGTACGCAAATGTTTTTCCCTACTCTTTACTCACTTATGAATGTGCCAATACTTCTTACTTACTTCTGATTTCCCGCGATATAGAGTGAACAAAACTCCATCATCATCATTATTCTTTACTGCAAAATAAGTTTTTTAATATAGCCAGAGAGAGAGAGAGTTGTGTGAAGAAGTCGTCCTCGATTAATGTGATTAGATTAAGCATTATATTTCATGTCATCAATATTTATATATACATACATATTGCAGATAACTGCTAATCAGAATCATAGGCTATGCATTTTGCCTTTTGTGAATAATGAACTTGATTACAAACTAGAAACAGATATCGATAATCATGCCAATAAGGTAATAAATATTATTCAGTGAAACTTTTGTTATAATACAAAGAGTTTTTTTCTTGCTTGGAATACTTACTTGCCAATCGTCAATCGTCAATCGTCAATCCCTAATCGTCAATCGCCCATGGCCTCTGTTAAATTGAGTTACTTAGGAAAACACGGTGTTTAGCTTGAATAATTTGCTTTCGGTTTATTTCAAAAATACAATTTAGAAACGCTTTCTCAGTTTGTTGTTGTTGTTGTGGCAAAAACGGTCCATGTGTATCATCATATAATAGAACAATCAAATAAACTATTAACAAAGCAACTTTTCATCTGCAGCCTAGGAACATGATCATCATCGTTCTCATTAACTCCATCTCCGGTATTTAATCTCAATTAACTTGTAAACTTTATAAACTTACGCAAGCATCTGCCTCTGACAGCTTGAGGCAGTTCCCAGGAGAGCTGCGATCTAGCCCAGCACAGCCCAGGGTTTATATAGGTATAAAAATAATCTATATAAATATGATATATACGTGTATAGATATATATGACTTGGTGTGTGTGTGCGTGTATGTGTGGGTGATCAGCGTCTGATCCACATTATCATCAAAGACGCATGTGTGTATGTGAGTGTGTGTATGTATATGGGTAAGTGTTTTGTCTTGGATCGATTAGATATGGATTTACAGCATGTATCCAAATATGCCCGTAAAACCAGTCTCCGTTTAGGCCAATCGCTATGCTAGTCATATTCCTGCTTTATGGATAAGGCCTTCTCGGTACTTTTCTCAGACTTCGGATGGGAGCTCGTGGCCCCTGTCGTGGACTTGCCTTTGATGTAACTGGCCACGGTGGAGCTCAGCGGTATGGTAACATACTGATTGCCATCTGGAATATTGCAATTGTATACATATGTATGTTAAAAAGGAGCTATTTATTGAAGATTAGAATATATAATTGAGACCTTCTTCGGCATGAATCTGTAATTGGCCCGACTGTATTAGATGGCGCAGCATGTCCGGCGGTATATTGGCGAACGAGGTGGCCGGATAAACGTATTTGTTATCTGGTGCTGCTGCTGTCGCTGGCGACGCTGTTGATGCTGCCGATGCTGCTGCTGCTGCTGCTGCTGCCGCCGCTGTGGACGTCGATGCACCCGTCTCAGTCTGATAGATTAATGAGGCCGGCATTGATTTTGGGCCACCTACGGACGCTGCAGTCTCTGGCTTAAGCTCATGTGCTGCTGCCTTGGAAACAGGGTCGGCGTCGGCTGGCAACGGCATTTCCACATCCGAAGAGTCATCCGATTCGTTGCCCGACGATGTTGGCGAGCGATCATCCTGCCAGACCAGAATAGACCAAGAGAGACAGAGAGAGAGAGAGAGAGAGAGGGAGAGAGTGAGGAGATTAGATAGTTGTTGCAGCCAAACAGTCTGGTCTGATCTGATCTTAAGCCAAAGATGAGCTGCATGCCAGGCTGGCCCCGTCGGGCTCGTTCTATATGCCGGCCAAGCCAGCGATTGTGTCTGGCACAGAAAAGAAAACGAAAAAACAAAATATAAAGAGGGAAAAACAATATGCTTGGACCAAATATGGCGCGAAATTGCGTATAAGTGCTGGCCGCGTTGCTCGCCGGCACGCATTTCAATGAGCCATGAGCAGCGCTCGTTGCCTTAAATGTGCACACGCGTTAAAGAATTTAGAATATTGATTTCTGGCTCTGTAATCGAACGTGCAGGGACAACTCATCAGCCAGCCGCGGCGGCCGCGACAGCGCAGCTGCCTCGCATCATTTTAATTTTGATTAGTGTCTCGGCAAAAATAATTGCGAACTGTAACAATGCGTTCGCCATTTTGTGGCATTGCGCATACGCAGCGTGCGCTGCGCAACTGCAACTACAACTGCCTCAACTGCCTCAACTGCCTCAACTTCCAATGAAATTGTAGCAGCGACGCGTATGGCTAAATTGCATTGCTGCCACTGCACCACGCTGACCAAAATGGGCGTTGTCGTTGTCTCTGACTCGTCTGCTTGTTGTTCTTGTTGTTGTTGTTGTTGTTGTTGTTGCTGACGTCTGGCAGCCGGCCTGTGGTTCGAGCGAGTGCCTTTTGAGCGACAGCATCAAGACATTTTAATTAGCAAACAGCACTGGCTACAGCAGCAACAGCAACAACAGCAACAACAGCTGCAACATTGACAAAGTGCATCTAAGTCGCGCAACTCGACTTTTGGCACTTGCAGCAACAACTGCAGCTGTTGCAGCTGTCGTTGCGTTCACGGCTTCAGCCAGCTCAGCAGTCGACAACAAAGGCAGATTCACACTCAACGAGTTGCAGTTGTAGCTGTGCCACAGCGCCAAAGACCTGCACGCATTGCTGATCGTGTTAAGAGTTAAAAAGCGTATGAGCTTTGTGTGAATAGATTGTAATTAGATATGAGTGAGGGCTCGGGATGGCAAATATATATACACATGTATAGTATATATACCATACCGTTTCCATATTCTATGAAAATGTCTTATTTTAGTCTAGATGATAATTGTATACTTTTCCATGTTTATATTAGAGATATACACATATGAGAAGACTTGAGTTCCCTTATGAAGTGCATATTTATACAAAATATATAATAATTATTAAATACAATAAAAATTTCATGATGACTTTAAATGTTTATTGCAAGCAATTTATAAAAAAAAAAAAAAAAAAAAGTGTCTCGCCCCCGGGTGGACTCGAACCACCAACCTTTCGGTTAACAGCCGAACGCGCTAACCGATTGCGCCACGGAGGCAACTGAGGGCCGCGTGGAAAAATACAATGCTTGAGCACGCATGGCCATTCCGTGACTTTTCGCCAAAAGCTCTTTTACGGAAAAAGCTAAAACGTAAGATAGGCGACTGATTAGCCAATAAAAATGCGGAAAGATCTATAAATAATGGCGAGCTAAATGAACTTGTTCTAATGTCATGTCAACACGCACAAGATCATAAATTTACGAGAGACTCACATGATTCCAAATTATAATAATAGCAATTATCGCAACAAACGGAGGAGCAGGAGGGGGAGTTCCATTTGTGATTAGTATTTCAACACTGTTCAAGTGAGAATGAAATCTTTTTGGATCAACTCTGCATTCTGTGTATTTTAGCCGACCTGTAAATTATATTTTGGCATAGTGTAATGCTCTCTTATTTATTTTGACTGGGGCATTCCTACTGCTTTTGCT